TTTTTGTTCTTATTGGATTCCGCTGAGTTTCAGATCGGCCTCGAAATCTTGCTGAATACTTCATGATTTTCAGTGTTTTCACCCGATCGCCCGTAAAGACATATTCTGAATTACCTTGGCAGCATTTACCGAATTAATGAGCGTCCAGGCGCTCCTTTTTACAAACATAGTCGTTTGGGTCACATTTGAAGACTCATTCAAACATCAAACTTCATTTTCGAGAAAAATGACTGTCCACAACGAGAGTCACCAAAGAATATGCCTCAGATCATTAAGAAAACCTTCCTTAATAAGTTACCTCTTTAGGAAGCGCATTATTACTGCATTCCGTCGACGGATCTCTGTGTACTTTGCATTTTTATACGGCGAAGCCAAGTAAACATTTGCTACTTTTGACGGTTTCTTTCACGTTCCTAAGCAATACTAATATTTTTCTACCGTGAATGCAAGAACATGCCTTTCTCTATATATTGAGGCCATTTTCACTGTTCTTGCTCGCATTTAGACTCCTTTCTTCGATTAAGAATGCCCGGCGGTGCGCCCATACAAATACTGATATTTTGATGAAACTTAAAAGGTTTTGCTCGTTCTATTTCTGAAAACGTGTGCGCAGAAGCTAAAATACTAGAAAAGTAGTGTGGCATATGCTTAAAGCTGGAAATGAACATTCCGTGGTGGTCAGCTACGTGACATCAGGTAGAATTTTCCAAACGGCAAAAAAATTTCAGCCCACTTAAACGAAAGAATCTCTATCTGCGTTACTATTGGACTTTGGGGCACCAAATGGCACAGATCTGCTAACTTGACATTTAGAATTTGATAAGACCTCTGGTTTTCTTAAAATAACCTTTTTGTTAGGAGATTGATAACCATGGTCAACATCGGACATGAAATAAGATTTCTAGTCCGGCTTAATCCGTTTTTTAAATCTCGCGCGATTAAATTACTATCCTTTCAATGAAAAAGTCGCTCAGATGCGAAAGTGGGGTCTAAAACAGGTATTAGCATAGGAAATTGCAAGAATATATTCCAACGTCCATTTTCGCTAAAATTTGCTGATATTTCACTTGACATAATTCCGCAAACACAATTTCTGAACAAGAAAAGGACATTTCATTGAAGGATGTGGGTGAAAGAACAAAATGCGCCACGTCAAAGGCGTCCAAATATTCTCTTATCAGTTTCCGTTCTCAGATTTCATGAGATAGGTCACGTGCTATAGATATGATGCATTTTCCTCAGTGATTTTCGACGTTTTTGCAAATTTTAATATATTGCATAAAAA